TGCTGCCTCAGGAACAGTCAGAGGATGAGGTACCTGCCATTTCCATTGTTCTTAGACAGCATTATGTTCACATCTGATACAGGAATTAGGATTGGCAGATTTGTTCCAATTTAGACATTTTACTGTTTTTATTTAGTATGACAATAGATTATTGCTATTTGTATAGATATTTGTATAGATTGTTATTTTTATTGATAGGGCTTGTGGTTTGATTCTGCAAAGGTTTGAGACAGTTAGCAGCGACTTGAACAAGGATTAGTTGACAATTTAAAATGGTCTGAAAACTACAGTGCCCAACAGGTATTTAAGGCTATACTACACTATACTTTACTATAGACTTTGTAGTGTGAACTGTTGTTTCATAACAACCTGGGGGTCCTGGAAATTTGGACATTCTGCGGCATACAACAAAGTCAATGACCCTGTACACAAAAGTAAAAAGGAACAATACTGAGTAAGTGAATAAAACCTTTTTCATAAAACTAAACAAAGGATGTAAATAAATGACAGTATCAGTTAGGGTAATGTGTAAGTAAGTGTAAAGGAGCTGAAAAGATTGTCGGGTGTGGGGACCACAACACAGGTTCTATTTGAGGGGATAAGCAACACACAGTAGTAATGAAGTCTGTTACATAAGCCAGCCAATCACCATGCTTCAACCGCTGCTGACTCAGCCATTACTTTGTGAAGTTTAAACCATACAGGTCAGTTAACGGGCAGTAGAAACTGTAGAGGGCAGTGGGCTGATAAGATAACCGGCAGAGCTCTCCAGCATGCTCATGATTGGTGGCTGACACAGTAAACAGAAAATGTTTGATATGGTATCAGTTCAGAAACCCTGTGATATGTAGTTCTTCCTGATGCTGCTTTAGAAGGTTAATAGCTTTAATTTTGCATGTTTGCCAAATGTTTTTCATGTGGATCTGTTTAAGTTGTCATTGTTTTTTGTGATATATTAAAAATAGAAATGTTTTTCATGTGCTTTCCATCAGGCCCTGGAGATTGACTCTGAGGAAAGTAAGAAGGTCAACATAGAAGAAGATGTGGATCAAGATGATATTGTAGACGACTCTGACTCTGACACTTTATAAGTAACAGTACAATAAACTGTTGGTTTAGATTTTAAACTTTTGCATTAGGGTAAAACCCCCATTTGTGCACCAGCTTTTGACGGTTCAAATGCCAATGAGTTTTAGTGTCTTTTTACATCAAAACTCTAAATGTATTGAGCACTGCTTCTCAGTGTGCAGGTATAGGATCAATAATATCAACATATAGTCAGAATTTTTGTATTCACTGCAAGCACATTAAAAAATACATTTATGTACTTTATTGTTTTTATTTTCTGTTGACTATAAATAAACAAATAAAACATGCTGAATAATGAGGTGTTTCCCAGTAGGTTTGGTTTGAAAAAAAATTGTTATATCTTCAAACAACTCTGTCTTTCTTTCTATTTGTTTGCTGAGAAAATAAAATAAAGATTGTTGAGAGATTGTTTTGGTCTGATAAGTCATTCATTATTAAAGATATTTCAAATAGTCCCTATGTCTTTTTTTTAGACATGAAATACATTAATATATACAAGTAAACATCAGCTTGACAAAAATATATAATATATAAATTAAGAATGAAAAAACTCTTTACGAAATTGTAAATTATTAAATTATTTTTTATTTAGAGGCCATCACTATTCCAGGTATTGTGTGTGATAAACAGAGAGGTTTATTAAGTGTCCTTTTCTCATTGTTTTTTTTCCATAATTACACTTTTACAATGACAAAAAATAATGTTTGAACATGTGAAAACACTGACTTCCATGTATTTTAATTTTTTTTTTTTTTTTAAAGGGCAAAAACTAATTGAGCTTGGGAAAAGCACCCCACTGTACCCAGACGAAACACTGAGATCTTTGTTCCTGGAAAATCCCATAATGAGGGACAGCAACAATAAGCGTAAGCTTTAAATGAAGGCAAGAAATCTCTGATACTCTGAAGCCCTGGAGACTCATTTGTGAACACGTAAAACAAAATTTGAAAGATGACTTAAACGATTAGTACACAGAAGCGAAGAGTTGTTACAAGTGAAATTCAAGAAAAATGTTTGCGTGACATTGTAATAAAGCAGACCAAAACCAAGAGCAACATCGAAGCATGAGTCTTTTATTTATTGCTTGAGTCAAGTAGTCATCTGCAGAAGTTTCCAAAAACTCCTATTTCTAGTTTAAAAATCATACCAGCTTTTAAACGCATGCTTCTCAGTTGTGACAAATCCTTTTAGCAGGGTTATAAGAGGGCTTATATTGATGATGCATTATGTCATAAATAGGACACACAGACATCCTCTATGAGCTCAATGTGTTAGTTGTGTCTTTTATCTAGGCTAACAACTTTCTATTTCAATATACAGCAGCATGTCTTTTTATTTGTTTACCTAACTGTTATTTAACAAGAAAAGACCCATTTAAGATAAGAAATATATATGTTTTCAGTGTCCTAGTTTCAGACAAGCAACATAAGGCAGTTAATACAAAAACATTGTGTATCACAACAATAAACATAACTAAATTGAATGACCCTTTATAGAATGCTGCTTTTATAACCTTTAATCCCAAATTGCCAATAAATCAAACTGGCAACAAGCTTGGCCACTCAGCCACATCTGTCCCCTCGAGAGCTCGTGGTAAGGAGATTGCAAAAAGAAGTGAAATTCTTGGGTGTTGAAAGAAAAATCCACCATACAGCAGTTAACATATATTATTCCAAGCTATTTAGACACTAAAGTCAACATTTCTAAACTGACATCTCCCTAAACTGGAACTTTGCTGGTCCACATACCCCAGTATGTAAGTAAGTTTTTCCATTACTCACTTCTGTCCCTAGATGACCTCATGACTAAAACCTGTCCCTCAAAACAGACTTGTTGTTGTGCACATAAATTAAGGTTGAGGGTGGATTTTTCCTCATGGTGCCCCCTGTGGTTGGCAAGGTCTTTAAAATATTCCAGCATATTCTACATTTTGACACATAGCCCAGTAACCAGATTCAGGTATGTAGATACTGACACATACCTGTATCTGGCTGTTTAAGTCTACACTTTAAAGATTTAAAAATAACTAAGAAAATACTAATTGAGGTTCAGTTCTGTTCAAACAGAGTCAGGATGGTCCTATTGTGCATGTTGGCTCGCTGGAAAGGCTGCCCCACTAAATGGAACCGAAGTATGGAATAAAGTGAGAAATAGGCAATGCAGCAACCATCAGCACTGCCTAGTTCCACAGTTTGATCTGCGTTTTGTGTGGTGCGCTGGACAGACTCACTGAGAACGACTTGTCAATCAAAATGAAGCCACGCCATTAAGCATACCCTGTTTTATCCTCTATTGTACTCTAAATGTGACCATAATTTACTAAATGAACATCATGGAAGAAGACTTGAAATTAGTGGTAGACCATAAACTCATTAGAAAAACCATTTACTGAGGTAATACATCAAGTGACAAGTAGGTTCAATTCCCCATAAGACTCAATACTATCGGACATCATTTTTGCAGCCTATGGAGCTTCTCCATGCTGACCATTAGAAAGAATGCAGGTTTATCAAAGACCCAGAAGCTCTGTCCACTTTAACTGTATACTACCAATGTCCAGAGCTGATAGCAGAGCTCTAACCCAATTAAACTGAAAATAATTTAGACTCAACTCAGATCCTTGGTCACAAACTGAGTGGTCCAGGAAGGATCTTTACTAAGGGAGTGATATGACTGTAGCTGTGTACCCATCAGCTTGTTTTGGTAGTCTTCTACCCACTTTTTGCCAAAAATGGACTAATGCAGCTTTAAGGCAGGCATAGAAACTGCCAGCCTGGCATCACCACACTAATTCACAAATGGAAATGATAGAAAATGAAACATCATGAGCTCGGCACGATTCGTCTGGTTTCCGGGCTAATTAACTGCCCAAACTGATGGCTTCAAACATACTGTACCAAATAAAGCTTTACTAGATCTATCACACCACTGATTCTGTCCAGACATGTTCTTAAAACTAGTGCTGAGCTTACAAATATGTCTCAAATCCACTGGATTCGCTGCATATTTCGTCCCTAATGAATTTCCATAGTTTGAAGAACTCGAGGTCGGCAGGACTTTGCAATCCTGGTTGAACAAAACATTTAATGTTTGACTCCACAGTTCCTAAAGGCGTCACTAAAACAGTCTGACAGCACCGACATTCTTTAGAGAAGTGCTTAATATCACTTTCAGAGCACATGAACCAGTGAAAGAACAAAGTATTGGAAATAAATCACCGCTTTTTGTTGCACTTTCTTTATGCTCAGCCTTATGGGTCGAACCATAATGAAAAGAGGGGGGGGTAGCTTCAATAAACGTGTATGCTATTATCACTAACTAAGATTTACACTGTTGAAAAGAAGTCGTATGTATTAATCGTTGTTAATCGTATATATGAAGGTTTAACATTTTGACGGTGTGATTAATAAACGCAAAGCAGTCGTTTTGTAAAAAAAAAAAGAAAAAATCCATTTACGCCTCCCCCCGCTCTGTGTGCGAGAATGGTCTATCCAGGAAGCATGTTCCACTGTTTGGGGAAATACCATAAACAAACTGTCTTTCCTGTCAACTTGAACGAGTGTTTCTTCTTTCGTGGCAGGTTATTGCGACCGTGACAAACAAAAAATCCACACTGTCTCTTCAGGACTCGCGTTTTTGTGTGTGTGTGTGTGCTAGCGTCTGAATCTGCTGCTCTCGGTGTATGTGACCGGGAGGGAGGACGTTGGGGCTGACACACTGTGAGACTGTTAGCTGTGCCGCTTTGAGAGAGAGACAGAAACCATGTCTGATATAATCCTGGTGCTCCTGTTGCTCGTGCTCCTGCTGTGTTTGGTTGTGACTGTCGGGGGTTTCCTGCTCTACTCGGGACTCCTGTCGGACGTGATAATAAAGACCGGGCCACCTCCTGTCAGAAATGTTACCATAGCTTATAAATTCAGAGAGGGATCGTACAAGGAGTGCGGTGCAGCCTACACAGAGAGCTGCAGCATTGGGCCAAAGCTGAGCTCCATCGGTGTCTTCTACGATGACCCCAAGCAGGTGAGACCCCAGAAAGCAGCAGAGACCCCAGAAAGCAGCACCTGTTAGTCTAACTACACGGTGGAGCTCGTGACATAACCACAAAAACCCCCAGTGTACTTTGTGTCCTGATAAGATGTTACAGTTAGTGAGATATGCGTTGTTTGACCTGGACAGGGTCTTTAAAGGTTGATGTTATGTGTTTAAAACTTATCTATGAGGTGTGATTGTTTATGTAGTAAACTTAACAACAGTCCTGACATAATGTCTGCGAGATATGAAAGTAATTAGGTCTATAAAAGATAATAAAATTCACAAGGTTTTAAAGAGCCCAGTGTGGTATGTCCTTTTGTCCAGGCAACTGTCCATGCACTGCCATATGCTGACAAAAAAAGCAGCAAATTACACTTGAGAACCTGAAACCAGCAGATGTTTTGCATTTTAGCTTTAAATTTAACGAAACTACTACTAAACAAATCAAAATTGTTGCTGACTGATTACCTTTCCACCAACTAACTGATCACAAACCAATCATTTACCTTAAAAAAAACCGTCTAAAGGTCTTTGATTAGTTACATGAACTGATGCAATATGGTGTAATTCAGAAGGCATGGCTGAAGGGGTTAAATGAACAAGCAGCCTTTTGAAGGAACTGAATGATGAAACCAGTCAGCTGTTCAATGCCACGTTGCTCTGTTGATATTTTTTCCCCTCTCATCTGTGCTTCCAGAGTGCTTCAGCATTTGTCAGTTCCTGACTCAGAGATGGCAACCAGACTTTACACTAGAAGAGCAAACGCAACCTCTTCACGTTTGTCTGAAAAGAGAGCTGCTAGATGTCTGGAAAAGCAGGCTTTTGTCTGGTCTGAGTGGTTATGAAATTACAGTCGCGGTCCAGATGTGAGAAGCAATGAATGTCCCTTTGTCATCCTGAGCGTAATCCCAAACCAAGTTTTGTATAAATAGGTCATTCCTCTGCTAAAAATCTGCGGTTATCTCCTGCTTTCATGTTGCATTTCGCCGTTCATCACGAGTTGTGTTCTTAGTCAACAAGAACTGTCTACACAACAGCTGCTTGTTATACGGGAATGCTCTTTGAGTTCCCAGCTGATACAGGAAAAGTACACACACACATATGCAGCAATTTCTCAAAGGCCCGAATATAACCTATTTATGGCTTATTCCCTGACTCAAACAACAAAACTAACCGTGCGGTGTGGTTTGCTCTTTGATTACCTTATTGTGTCAGTTCTGCTGTCATTTGAGTGCTGAACTTGTTACGGTTGAGTGAGTCAAGCCATCTGACAAACAGTACAACAAAATATGGGCTGTTAAACACGTCAGCCAAAAGTGTACAGTAACCTAGTCCCGGGAGTTGACATGGGGACAGTGGTGTGGTGGCCTAGTTAGTGTTATTATAAGACTGTTGTGTTTAATGGTTTCTGACACTTAATATATGATCACTGGGTGTCTCTTACTGGGAGATGCAGCGTTCAGCCATGCCACTGAGCCAAATCGCAATTTAGTATTGCTTTGTGAAATAAAGAACGTGGCAGCACTTTGGGTTTGCCTTTCTGCTTACCTCCGCCAGTTTGTCTGTAGCACGCTGTCCTTTTTTTAAGTAAAGGCTTTTAGTGGAAACCCTGACTGCGAGTCATACCAGTGGAAACTTGTGGCAAGAGGCTTTTAAAACTTTTCTGCTGGTGTCGGAATTTGTGGAGAGTCTGGATCATAAGGTTCATGAGGCAGAGACATTTCTATATGAATCCCATGACTCTGAGGTTGGTGTCTGTTTTGACATGATCCGAAGGTGTATGGACCTCTGACTTCCTTCTGAAGAGAAATTAGACATCACAGAAATAAATCAAGTAGAAAAATAGTATTAACTTAACTGATTCAAAGTTTAGGAGTGCAAACTGCACATGTTCAATCTCTCAAAAACCTCTGACTTATAGAACTGGGAACAGCCAGAAAAGCTTGGTCCACTGACTCAGAGAATAAGTACCCAGTCATTCTCATAGTTAAACATTTGTACATGTAATAATAAATGGCTTATCCAGTAGAAAGCTTTACATTATTGACTGGCTCTGTAATCATAGCTGTTTGCTGTTTTCAGTGTGTTATTTTGTGAGAAGATGTTGCCCCTCTTAGTTTAAAGGCCAAGGGTCTGTTTAGTCACCACCAACCACAAAAGTAAACTAAAAATGAGAGAGGTGGCTGAGACAGAATTTCCTGTTAATAGTAATACTTGTGTTTATGTGACTGCATGTCCTAAAGTCTAACATAATGTTCAACTATCCTTACTAGTTTGTAATGCTGCAGTTTTTTTATTTGGTTTTTACTTATCCTGTTTATAGTTGTATATAGTTGTTATAGTAGTTTTTTTTACCGATACAGCCTGAGTACTTTTCAAAACGCTATATAAAATAAATGCATTATTATTATTATTATTATTATTATTATTATTATTATTGTTAGTGATTTACAGTGGATTTTGCAACTGGCTGTGTTTAGATTTGACCACAAATTTTAAGGGGTGGTTTTCATCCAATATAAGCAGCAGCTAGCTCTTTTCACCATGCTACCATATCCTTAAGTCTTCCATATCTCCATCCTCTGTATCCATAGTTGTTCTACCAGAGCTGAATATTTATCTAAATGATTATAAAATTAATGCCATCTCGCTTTCATGGCGGAGACACACAGGCTGGTTTAAATTCTGCATGTAGGAATGGAATAAATTGTGTCTCTTATTGTTGGGAGCACACCCGGTCTCAGAGATGCAGTCTTAAGCCATAATCACCTTCTTTAAGAGGGAACCATGCAGTTGACTGTTTATTAAATTTAGAAGGCACAGACAAGGATTTATAAACCACTAAAACTCTTCTAACATTTTTGAGGTTGCATTTGAATATGTATTCAGAAAACATTGTTAAATATTGAGCACCCTATACTGAACTTTGTAAGCCTTTTTGCCTCTTACTGCACACTACAGCCACTAGATGGCAGTGTTAGCATTGAAAGTGAGTTTTGTGGGAGGTGGGTGCATCCTCAAAACCACATTGATCTTTATACTTAATTCATTACCATGGTATAAGTAGTGTGATTCAGCCTCCTATAATTCATTCACCAAAAATTATCATCATATTAAAATAACATTTCAAACCTACACAAGTGGCTTTAGAGTAATTGGCCACTGTGACACCACTACTCAGTTGCTTTTCATGCCAGGTTCTGTAGTATAACTGGTTTTCAACAAATTTGAGTCATTTGCATTTACCCTGCATTTAAGCTCTAATATAGTCCCTATTTTATGATGAAAACAAGCAGGAGTCTGTGTCCTGCAGACCAGCATTCAAGTCAAACTACACCAACGGATCAAATGAATCACATAACGTGGAACGTTGCTGTTATAGTGACTGAATCTACTGTATGTTTGGACAGTTGTGGAATCTGTTTGATTTCACTGGCCTGCTCTGGTAAAGGTTGGTGGTTGACATCCTCACCTCAGTAAGCCGAGGCACTTGAGGCAACACCAATTAGCACTAAATCGAGCTGCTCTTCTTTGTGCCTCTTGCTTGTGTATGTCCATTCATGCATGTGTGTGTTTGCATGTATGCTTATAATTGCCATCACTTATTATCAAAAAAGCCTGAGGGATTGAACAATTTAGCAGTTTCCACTTAAAACTCACCAAAACAATTCAAGGCAGAGATGCCGCGGGCTCTGCTGTAATGGGGCTTTGACATGAGCATTGAACAAATCCCAGACTGGACAGAGTACAATCTAAATCATTGAATTCCTGGGTTGTAGCCCTTTGTTGTGTTGTAGAATGGCAAGGAGAAATAATTTCCATCAGCGGGTCTGCAAGGAATCTCAAGAGCAAAATTCATTAATAGGAGTGGGCAGCAGTGAATGCTCAGAGGCCTGTGTGTGTGTGTGTAAAAGCTATGCTAGGGCCTTCAGCATTGGCATGGAGCACATAAAGATATATGTAATTTTATTGTCGAGATAGAAGTAGTAGCTTGTATAAATTGTATAAATGTCCTTTTATTTAACCATTCATCAGTGGATATGATCAAAGCCTGTCTATAGTTGGTAGATCTCCACAGCAAATGCACTGATGATTGTATCGTGGCTTAACTAGAGCTGCTGTTTGATTCAACCTCTGATCTAGTGAATTCCCACCTCGTCCTAGCTTCTGAAGCAAACCCACTCATGGCTCCCCATGACAAGCAGGAGAAAATGAAATGTCACGTGTAGACGGGTATGGGAGTGGCAGTGAGAGATGAGGCGAGGTGTGGGACTGCCTTGGAAGAAGGGTCTAAATTGGTAGGAGTCTGACTCACCTTGAGAGCCTCGCAGTGCTCCAATTCATCAATCGGAATTTCAGATCAGAGTGCCGAGCATCGCCGCACTCCCAGTCAAATTTATTAGCATTTTACTGCTGCTTGTCTGTCTGTCGACAGCAACAACATGAAAGGGGGGCTTCTGGCAAGGAGTAACCGCTTTTAAAGGTGGATATGAAATGAGAAATGAATACGCTCATACTCTGAAGTCTAGTCCCACAGGTCTTCAAGTCAATATTATGCAAGATTGTGGACATGCTGGCTCTCCCTATAGTAAAGCACCCCATTAATGTTTATGGACATCTCTACAGTGAGTGAGATACTGCAAAAACCAGCAGACAGAAATCCAGACAGAATCTACTAAATGGGGAGCTGCTTTTTTATTCCACAACGCAACTATTGAGTTTATTTTTAGGATGCCATTTTGATCCATTTTCACAAACTGGAGAGAGAAAGCCATTACTCTACAAGCTGACATGTTACGATTAGTCAGTGAAACAAGATGGTGAGGAATGCCTTTAAATCTTCTGCGCCATCAATCCAGTGACATGCATTGGCTCTTCACCCTGTGTTATGATGCGCAGGATATTAGATTACACAGCCGAATATTTATCAGAGCAGCTTACAGAGAGCAAGGAGGTGGAGAAAGAGAGTTGAACATTTGTAGCGAAGG